GGCAACATACAAGGCAATAGGCCGGCCGGTTTTGAACTACGCAGCGCCAGTGTGGTCGCCAGGGACTAGTAGGACGCAGTGGACGAAGCTACAGACGGTACAAAATACGGCACTTAGGACAGCGACGGGATGCCTCCTGATGTCGCCTGAACACCACTTGCACGGCGAGGCGCAAATGTTCCCAGTTAAGGAGCATAATATAATGCTCCGCAAGCAGTTCCTGATCGGGAGCCACAGAAGTGGCCACCCAAACAGACAGCTGCTTGCAGAGGAGCCCTCGCCTAGGCACGTCAGGAGGCATCTATATGAACTGACGGACGAAGTCCAGAGGTTCATTAAGCAACCTCTGGACCCGACAGCGTACAAACAGGCCCTGAACGGCATTCACAGGGACTCAGTCTCGAGTTATGTAGACTCTAGACCTGTGAATGCCGTTCTAGGCATACCACCCCCGGACATATGTATATTTCTGGCCCAGGGTTTGACTCGATGCCAGCCCTGAGTAGGAGAAAGCGTAGTGAATGTTGCCCTATGGACGGACAACTTCTGAGATACTTCGCCGACCTAAACGGGGTTAGATCGCCGAAACAACAGCCCTTGGTCGGGTGAAACCCGAGTCATTCCGGTACGTAGAACCGCTGTTCCTAAACATTATTGACTGACTGTATGGAATCACATATCGTCGCCCGTATGCCAGAAACATGCATGTGTAAACATGAACATTTTGGGAAATCAAGTTTGAAAGTTTTTTTTTAACGAGACTTAACTACATTTATGCAATTCAAATTGTAAAATACACTTAGGTCTCTTTTTATGCGGTAGATGCGTTCCTCAGAAAGCCACATAAAAAAATCCGCATAAAAAAGTTCTTTACTTTCATACAAAAACAGGGGATGCGTTCCAGCATTTTCAAAAACCGCATAAATTCAGATACTCCATGTAAAAAATTCTAAAAAAAAGCGCATAAAAAAATCTAGTGAGGCATTATTGAGCAAAAAAATTATTTATTTCTTCACTTCAACAACTATTATTCCATGTGAAACCGAACATTAATGAAATAAATAAAATTTTATCTGCATTTTAACAAAAAAAAAATAAATAAATAAAAATACCCCAATACATGAATTATGTAAGAATACATAAAAAAAATTAGAAAAACAGGGTTTTTCTTAACAGCGGCCGCCCCTCGGCAGGCAATGGCAAACCTCCGAGTGTATTTCTGCCATGAAAAACAGCTTCTCGTAATAATACAATCGCCGTTCGGAGTCGGCGTAAAACTGTAGGTCCCTCCCCTTTGTGTGACAACATCAAGACGCACACCACAAATTGAAGGAGAAGCTCCACTTATGTGTAAGCGCCCATCTATTATTATTATTACTAGCTAAGAATACAAAGACAAATTATTTATCAGAAGCATCGTCTTTTACACACTGAAAAAAGTAATAAAAACTCTCAAAAAAGCAAAATTACTACTGCGAAATAATGGTTTGAAAAACCGCACAAATTCAAATACGCATAAAAAGAGACCTAAGAGTATATGGTTTCCGGTCATGCATGTCATTCTGGATTTTGGTATAACATCGAACATCTAAAGGTTAATGAAAACCCAAAACTGATAAATTTGCACATTCATGCTTCTAGCATAAGGATGACGATATGAAGTGTTTCTTAAAAGCACTATACTATGTATAAAAATGATTCGTATAAAAAGGTTTGCATGCAATAATCAAACATGTTCATTACTTTAGATGTAGATGATGATGTCGAAATGGTAGATACCGCGGAGTGACGTTTTCCAATTATCCTCACTACGACACCCATCAATATATCCGGCCGATAAGGATCTTCATAAAAGTCTACTTTTTCGGTTGGTTGTAATACTGAGGGCATTGTCTTGCCTGCCCCCAGTGGATATATGTAAAAATCTTTAATCTGCGGCGAAACAGTATTTATAACACCCAAACGATTTCTATTTTCAAGGTATTGGAATAAAACTTTATATGCTGAAGTTTCTGATTCCGAGGCGGGGATCAGACGTATTATGACGATCTCCTTGTTGGGACTCCTTTTGATTTTCGATATATACTCCCATACAGTATCAGGTCCAATACGTCCAACAACATCTAATTCATCTGGTAACAAAGTTCCAAGATTTAAGGAATTGCCAACAACTGGTTGAATTACAATCTGGAACGAGGCAACGTCGACCATATTAATGTTGCCACTCCATATACATGCCGTAGATACATTTCCACTTAATGTTGGAGAGTCAACATCAGAGTAGCGAATGTATGGGTCTTGTGGAGGTGTAGCGACGGTACTAGTTGGTTCTTGATCATCACTTGTGTTGCCAATCGAAACTGAATGTCTGGGTTGAGATATATATTGAATTCCTGAAGATGTGGGCGAAGGTGGCGTGATAGTTTGTCTGCTCGATTCTTTCTTTTGCCTTTCTTTTTCCTTCCCCCCTAATTTCCCTCTTTCGCTGATTAAATTTGCAGCCTCCTCCACAGTTTTCGTAGACTCTAATATTTGATCAATTAAACTGAAAGTTTCTATGGATTTTGGAGTTGTCGGTTTCTTTAATTTATTCTTGTCTTTAATGATGTTGCTTGCGTTACTCTTAATAGAATTTACATTAAATGGAGAATTCGAAACTGTGTTTTTCTCAATCGTCTTACTATCGAATTCCTCTTTCTCTAATCGAGCGTCACGGCTACGATCTTTTTCTTTAAATTTGTCTTTTTCTTGATCCCGTTCTTCTTTATCCCGCTTGTCTTCCTTGTGATGGCTTTTGTGTCGTTTTTCCCGACTGCGGCTTCGACTTCGAGAGTGACTTCTACTGCGCTTTCTTGATCTTGATTTATCTCTGTAACGGTCTTTATTTTTTCGTTGCTTCTCTCGGCTGTGATCGCTATCGTGAGAGCGGGCACGGGTATGAGAGTGTTCGCGATCTCGGCCGTGTTCGCGGCTTCGACCTCTCTCACAGTCGCGCTCTCTATCATTTTCCTTTAAAAGACTTTTTTTATTTTCTTCATCTAAAGGATTACCATCATTTTGTTGATAATCAAAAGAAAGAGCAGTTGGCCCCATATCTGCTTTAGCACTTTCTTCTATAGCGCTACTACTACTCACAACTGAGCTATTTAACACGGACACAACATCCTCAACAGGAATAGTCACGTCTAAATTAACACAGTCCTCTAGTTTACCCTCTATTACCTCCTCTCCTTTATGAGTCTTTAAAACATAGTTCTTAGCACAAGACAACAAATCAAGTTCTGATTTCTTTATCATTTCTAACTGATGTTTTGCTTCATTTTCGCGCCATTGTGCCAATTCTTGGCTTGCTAACTCATCCGCTGACATTCGAACTAGTTGCCTAGGTTGTATTATTTTAGTACAAATTTTAGCAAATAGGGTGCGATTCTTTCTATCTTTAATGTTGAACATCAATGATCGATATTTAGCCCTGTATCGAGAGCCGGTATCTCGATTAAAATACTCGTACATTTCTGCTTCCGTTTCCAAAACAAATTTCTCTATTTCCTCTATATTTAATTTTGGCAAATTTTCATTAGTTTTGTTGCCAATCTCACCTTCAGCTCTCAATTCGTTCATTCGCTGGATCAATTGTTCTTTTAGAGTACGGCGTACATTCAGTCGAATCGGTTCAGAGTTTGTGCTTACAGGTGAAGCATTTTCGGAATGCTTTTTGACAACAATATCCACTACTGACCGCTGTTTCGATGACTTTTCCTTTCGCTCCTTTGTATCTTCTTTTGCATCACTGCGGGCCGCTTTGTCTGGTTTGATTGAAACTTGTTGTGGATACTTTTGTAGTTGTTTGGGTGTACCTGGTCGAGGACTGTTTGGCGCAGTTTTAGCTATTTGTTCAATGAATTGCTTTACCGGCTTTTGCACTGGTAGGACCGAGTCGAATTCTTTTTGAGACTGAAGAGTTTTGGAAACGCTTGTAGGATTTGGAGACGCAGCCACTTGCACATTCTGTGTGGTGTGAGGTGACTGCGTGATATGTTTGCCAACACTAGAAATAATCACAGGAGATAGTTGTGTTTGCCGTTGCTTTTGTTTCTTCTAAAATTATAATTCATATCATTAAAATTTTATATTTAAATTACACCCGGCCTTAACTTACTTCCATTCCTTGAGCTTGGAAGGCTCCCGGTTGTACAACCTCAAACGTCTGATTTTCCTGAAGCCATTTTTTAAGATTTAGTGTTGTAGGCGCATTGCTCCCAGTTAACACCCTACCGCTTTTCCGCTCAATCACATGCACCTGCGATGTATTATTGAGAAAAATTAGTCATACATTCCTACTAGTTTAAATGTTATTTAAATTGTGTAAAGAGGAACTTTGCAATTAAATTTCCCCCATGGTGAATTCGCCATTTCAAAAAGTCGTTAGTCGTTATATCGTCGCCGCGGTAAAAGCTGCTAGCTTCACTTTTCGGTCAAAATAACTTTTTGATACCGACCGAAAGGGGGGAAATTTCTGTACATAGTGGTGGAAGCAAGTATTTACAATCGCTAAAAATAATCGAAAATAAAATCAGCTAACTCCAAACGCATTTATTTGTTTATATATATATATATATTTTATTTTCAATAAAAAGCTGCAAACTCCATAAATACCGGAGTAGGGGCGCTCGAAGTGTTACCAATTGAAAATGCTATAACTTTGCCTTTTTTATTTAAAAACATCAGTCCATCATAAAAACTAGTAAAGTTCGATGTATCCATATTTAGCGTGGATAAGAGCATCGAGTGTGTCCAGGAATGCTTCACATGCTGCATGAATGTTGTCTAGTGGTATTTTGTATTGAACAGGGCGTAATGATACATCAACAAATCTACCATGAAAAGATTTTAAACGATGCAGAAAAACCGGTCAGAAGTCAGATTTACCAATTGTTGCGAAAGTCCAGTAAAACACACTATTCCTAAAGCTAATAACTGATCTATTAAATGGTAGCCATGAAAACTCCCTCCGCTGCTTTCCCTTTGACATATGTCAACCTGAAAACAGTCAATGTTTTGATAGTTTTTTTCCACGCTTTAAGTCGTTCTACTTGTTTCTTCGGTAATTGTGTTTTAGCGAAGTACATAGGTGTTAGGTTCAAGAAAAAACCTTTAGAACATGGAAGAAGGCCATTTCTACAATTTAAGACTTAATTTAATAACTTGCTTTTAATATGGCCTTCTTTTAAAAAATTTAAAATGTGTCTATTTTTATATTTTCGTATATGTATTGGTATTTTTGTTTACTTGTCAAGGTTTGTCAAAGTTTGGTTCATTGAAATATATGTTACTACAGTTATCTTTGAGCAATCAAAGCAAAAATAATTTGCTCGCAAGTGCTCCATTTTGATTTTCGAGGGACCAAACAAATGTTCAATGTATAGTTGTAAGGAGAGTCGCACTGTTAGTCGGCATAAGTCTGGCCCTTAATTTGGTAAAAATTACGTAACGATTGAATACTATGTATTTGTCGAAGATCTAAGAAAAACCCCGATCCATCGCTAGTTTTTTCTTCATCTGTAAAAATAACTTAAAAATATAAGAAAACAAATGCCGAAGATTGTATTCGTATTCATCGAAGCTGGGTTGGATGTGTATTTACGTGTATTTTAAACAGGAAATCTTTGCACGCCTTGGTCTTAAGGGCTCAAATTTTCAGGGAATTATTTTTAGTATTTCCCACAAAGTTTTGAGGTGGAAGTGAACAAAAAATTGTCGCAATAAAAGCACCCATTCATACATATATAAAAAGTATATAAAATCAAAAAAAAAATTAATACTTTCAGAAATATCAATAGCGTCGCGACATTTTGACATTGTTTGACTATTTTTCTTTTGTTTGATTAATGTTTATTAATTCTTGATAAAAATATAGCTCATCTACCAAAAGCTATAGAAATCCAAATTTCAAGCTTTTTGCAAAAATTATAAAAGTTCTGCAAAATTCCCTGAAAGTTTCAAACTTTTTTTTAGAATCCTTTTAAAAAAGAAAATCGGCATCCTCTTTTGTAGCCCATACAATTTTTGTAGCCGAAAATTTTTTTCTATGCACAAGACCATTTTAATAGGCACGCTTAAAATACAAACAAAACACAAAAGCCGAAGGTTCTTAAATCTCTGTACAGTTGCTGCAGTGAAATCCGTCAGAGTAAACACAATTGCGGCGCACGACGCACAGTGGGGTAATCGACCCTGGAAGTGGAGATCAATTTAAACGTATGTACATTTAATTTAAAATATTTTGATGTATTTGTATAACTAGCACCAAATAAAGTAAAAAAGACAAATCCGAAAATAGTTTAGTGGGAATTTTTTTACGTAGGTTTTTATGGCGTTACCAAAGAGCGAGAAAAGTTAAAATTGAGTTGTTACTCCCACAAATAATTTTTATACCCGAGCGCACTTGTGCACAAGGGTATTATAACTTTGTTCACATAACGGTTGTTTGTAACAGGCAAAACGAATCGAGATAGATATAGACAAATGTAACTATCTTACTTCTTACTAATATTATAAATGTGAAAGTTTGTATGTTTGGATGTTTGGGAAATCATCACGCGGAAACGACTGAACGGATTTGCATGAAATTTTGTACGCAGAGAGCATATGGGCCAGATTGGTTAATAGGCTATTTTTTTAAGAGTTGCCACCTGTTAAAAAAGTTTAATTTATTTAATATGCGGGAACGACAGAATGGATTTGCATGAAAATTTGCACACAGATAGCTTATGATCTATATTGGAAAATAGGCTACTTTTCTTAAGAGTTGCCACCTGTTAAAAAAGTTTCATTAAATTAATACGCGGAAACGACTGAATGGATTTGCATGAAATTTTGCAAGCAGATAGCTTATGACCTACAGTGGGAAATAGGCTAATTTTTTGGAAGAGTTGCCACCTGTTGAAGAAGTTAAATTAAATTAATACGCGGGAACGACTAAACGGATTTGCATGAAACTTTGCACACAGATATCTTATGACCTAGGTTAGAAAGTAGGCTACTATTTTTAAGAGTTGCCTCCTGTTAGAAATGTTTAATTTAATTAATACGCGGAAATGAATGAACTGATTTGTATGGAAGTTTTCACACAGATAGCTTATGAGCTAGGTTGAAAAATAGGCTACTTTTTTTAAGAGTTACCACCTGCTAAAAAAGTTTAATTAAATTAATACGCGGAAAAGTCTGAACGGATTTGCATGAAATTTTGCAAGCGGATAGCTTATGACCTACAGTGGAAAAGAGGCAAATTTTTTGGAAGGGTTGCAACCTGTTAAAAAAGTTTTAATTATATTAATACGCGGAAACGACTGAACAGATTTGCATGACATTTCGCACAGAGATAGCTTATGACCTATGTTGGAAAATAGGCTACTATTTTAAGAGTTATCAGGTATTAGAAAAGATTAATTAAATTAATACGCGTAAATTACTGAACTGATTTGCATGAAAGTTTGCACACAGATAGCTTATGACCTAGGCTGGAAAATAGGCTACTTTTTTAAGAATTGCCACCTGTTTGAAAATGAAATTTTGCTCAAAGGTGGTTTATGACCGGGATTGAAAAATAGGCTACTTCCTTAACCGGTTTTCCGATCAGAACGAAATTTAGTACACTTACTACGGATTTCGGAAGGATGGTCTTAGACTGAAAGTAAGTCCGGTAACTCAAGGTCCCTCCCATACAAATTGGAATTTTCATATTACATACATATCTCTGGAAGTATTTGTGGGGGAGAACTGAAACTTGGTATAGTGATATGTATGTGAAATCAATGTTGGCTTTAATCGATTGATGTTTTAATCAGTTAGCTAACTCGATTAAATTCAATCTGATTACAGTTAATCATGATTAATTTTAATCTGACTAAACACTTAATCGTAACCGCGATTAAAAAATTAATTTTTAATCATTAACTCTTAATTTGGTCAAGTAGGTTTGGTGATTAATTAAGTTATGCTGGAATTTCCCTGTGCACACAAAGCAAGTTAATTCCTCATCAATCTAAGCAATTTGGTGTGCATTTTCATTAAGATATATACCAACAAACGTTATACAAAACTAGGAAAGCAAAAGTTCCCAGTTTATGTATTACTAATAACAATAATTATAATTTTTGTATATTATGTGCTTTTTATAAGCGTAAAACACAAAATAATTACTACAACTGGTGTTTGGTTTCAAACTAGGACAAACTAGACAATTTAATCAGATTTTATTTTTAATTGGAACGAATAATGTTTTAAATTAATTAAACGTAATCGCAGCCAGCGATTAACGATTAAAAAGCTGTTATCATTAATCGTACAGTCGATTACGACTAATTAATTTTAATCGTCAAATGCGATTAACATTTTAATCGTTAATTTTAATCAGATTAACAGTTTGCCAACACTGTGTGAAATCATGTTCATATTCACGGAGAAAAATGGACTAATACCATACTCATGGAGAAAAATTAGAGTTATTGGAAAAGGTGGTGTGGCAACTCCCATGCAAATTGATTTTTCTATGCTGCATATCACTGGAGGTGTTTATTGCAGAGGACTGGAACTTGGCACCGAGATGTGTATACAAAATTAATTCCATACTCATGGAGAAAAATTTGCGTTATTCGAAAATGGGACATGGTCTCGTAAACTCCTCCGTAAAAATGTAACTGCTCCGAGTGTTCATGGTGGAGTACTGGGACTTGGTACTGTGGTATGTAAAATCAATTCTAAATTCATGGAAGAAGATTAGGGTTATAAGAAAAAGGGGCGTGGCACTTCCAGTACAAATTTACTTTTTCTTGCCACATATCCCTGGAAGTGTTTGTGGAAGAATACTGGAACTTGGTATGGAGTTGTGTATACAAAATGTATCAACTGCTCGTGTGAGTTATTAAAAAAGAAGGCATGTCGCCACCCATACATACTAAAAACTTCTTAATAAATATCTCTGGAAGGATAGAAAATCTCCCGAAGTATTTTAAATTTGTTATGGAGATTTATTTTATAAGTGCCGTACCGACAGAATAAATTTAATTAAATGGAAAAGGGAGAGCCGGGTTCGCCCTTATAATCTAAAGCTCTCTTGAGGTATTTGCTACAGTAATGAGAAGTGGTATTTCATCAAGGCCAGGTTACTAAATTTGCGCTGGAAATATTAGAACCCACCGTGGCACCTCCAAGAAGGTTACACGTTCACGCGTCGTATACCTGGAACCATTTTATGGTAAACTTAGAGGGATTGATATCTTTCGTATGCCTAGCGCGCAG